ACAGGAATTTGGTAGGAATGCAGCTAAACACATTGAAGAGGGACTTAATTATTTACTTTTAAATTTAAAACCGTAAAGACAAAAAAAGTTGAAGCAATGCAATACTGGATTTTAGGACAGGCTCAACAAAGGGCACCAGCAACTAAACCAATATAAATGTATACATTGCACTTATGCTTACAATCCTTTGATATTCAAGACTAACCAACGCTGCTTTAGGAAGAAAAACTATTACCCTGGACATAAAAGGGAGGGGTTTTTTTCTGCAACATTAAGCACAACTGTTGTACTAGGTTCTGGGCCATTAATTTTGAGTTAATTAGGCATATGTGCAAACTGCAGTCAAAGTTGTCACTTAAAATCACCTCCTGGAGAAGAGCTTGCCACATTTTCACCGCAAACGTGGTGTGGTGATGGGGCAGCCCCGGCAGCAGAGGCATCTTTCCTCCTGTCCTGGTGCAGCCCCAGGTTATCAAAAAGTTTTCTCTCTCTACCTCCTGTTGCCAGCCAACATCAGCTTTGCAGCTCTGCAGATTTGTGAGTTTGTCTCCAGAGAAGTATTTGCTGAGAAGTTGTGCCTGGAAAATGATGACCATGTTTAATAATTACAGTCTGGGGAAAAGGTGAGTGTCACGAAGATGTTTCAGCTTCCCACCTGTGTGGGCATGTGGGAAATGGAGATGAGAAACCTCATTCTGGGGACACATACAAAGAAATATGAAAATACACCCTGGCTTTGACTTGGCTCTGCCCTAAAGCAAGGCTGGCACACTTTTGTTACAAAAAGAGAAGTTATTGCTATATCTTTCTTGCTTCTCAAACTAAAATGAGGCCTTTTAGACAGAGTGTAGGATTTTGCTACAAAGAGATGTTTGGTATAAAGACTGGCATTTATAAACATCAGCATAACAGAATTTTCTATCCAAAATATCCTCTCAGTCCCTGAGTCTGGGAAAATATGAAGCAATTCAATGAGGTTACAGTGATGCCGTGATTTACTGGAAAAAAAATGGGTTTAATTCTTTCCAGAGTTCCACTAAACATTTTTTTCATCAGAGATTTTGCTGGAATAGTTAATGTGGAATAAAATAAGCCAGAGTACTTGGGCCAGGACAGAAATATTCAGGTGCCTGTACCCAGCTGTCGTTTCCTTACTTAGCTTTGCCTGTTCAGGGAAATGCATTAAGCTGAAATGGACTTTCATATGGAGTAAGGTTCCAGGAACACAAACATTCAGGAATCCCTTTAAATCTTGGACAAACTCAAGCTAACTCCAAAGTAATTTCCTAACACTAGATCTAATTTTAGTGCCATACATTATTGAGAGGAGGTAGAAAATAGAGAGACATACGAAATCCCCAGGCAACATCAGAACGGCTTTCAAAAGCAATTTTAGCTTCCCTGTGCTCCTGCTGCCTTCAGCAAGCAGTACTTAAGAGAAATCCCATTACCAGGGCAGACAACTTTCCCTTTCAGAGATTTGTTTCCCACAGAAAGGCCCATGGGAACAGGGCAATACACAGAAAGCCCCGGATTGTGAAACAGACCCGTGTTCACCTCCACACTGCTCCGGGACCTGACAGAGGGTCTCTCCTCAAGAGGGATTTCACACCTTGCTCCCCAATAGCAAGTCTGACACCGTTTAGTGTTTTAAGCCAAGAAAAAAAGGTGGCAGAGGGGCCTGTTTATAATTTTGCAAATAGTGCAGAGGACTTTAAAAAAAATCAACAAAACAAACCCTGCTTCACACAATGCGGGAAACGTCTGGCACCCAACTGCATCTGCTGGGAGGCAGATCTAAAACAAACAAGAGGGAACATGTCCTCGCACACTCTGTAATTACACTCTGGATCATCCAGAGGTCGAAAGTATCAACAGCTTTAAGATATGACTGACTAGATTTAAGAAAAAAAGAAAAAAAAAAAAAGAAAACAAACAAAAAACCACAAGCAAAACAAAACAAAAACCCAAAACAAACAAAGAAAAACAAAGAAACAAACAAAATACTAATTAGGCTGAATGGTAAGTAGAGCTGATGGCCTGCTTGCAGCATAACTCCAGTAGTGGCTTGCTGCCACAGCACGAAGAGAGAGGGAGGGATCTTCTCGTCCTTGCTCCTTCAGCTATGCTGGCAAAGACAAGGAGCAGAGATTTGTGCCACTGTGCAGAGCCCCACTAAGAGTCACAGGGATCCGCTGATGTGGATCTAGGAACAGGTTAGCAAAGCTGAAAAGCTTCTCAAGACTTTTGCCGGGTTGTAATCAGGACCTAGGAGCTTCAGATTTTCTCTGTCCCTCCTGTACGCTTTCATAAGCGCACACAGCTGGTGATGCCAATTGCTGAATCCTGCAGCTAAGGAAGGGGCAAAAATGCAGCCATCCACAAAGAGTAAAATATCAGTGTGATTAAAATTCTCTTTCTGAATTACCACTGCAGGAGTCCAGGACAAGCTTATTTAACATCACAGACAAGGACATGCATTCTAACATGAAAGTACTTGCCCAGCTTTATGTCAGGGATGTGTTTCTATATTATGACAACATTGCTCGCACAGCCAGGGCTTGAAGAGCACAGCGCAAGGCACTTGAAAAAGATGCAAACCCAGCACTGCGCCGCAAAAATGCAGTCTGAAAATCACATACTATTGTCAGAGACTGGAATGCAGTCCCACAGCAGCGTAGCTGGGGACTTCCCATCTATATTTAGGGTGTTGCAACGCTACCCTCTCGCCCACACATGGCCACCCCCAGCAGGATGCCAGCTCCGGCATTCCTGGCACGGAGAGGGAGCGGGCTCCTGCATCTCCTCCCACGGCGGGGTATCAGTGTCGAGCTGGTGCGAGAACCACGGCGGGGCTCGGCGGCAGAGCCGTCCATCACTCCCACCTACCTGTGCCTTGGTTGAGAGAAAGGCTCAGGAGCGGCTCAGAGCTGGGGCACAGCCGCAGGCACACCTCGCTAACCTGCGTGTTTCCCACGGGAGCTGTTCCCGCAGCCTGGGCTCTGAGAACCTGCTGAGAGGGACCAGGGTGATCCACAAGAGCTTTACCTGCACCTTCCCCCGGGCACGAAGGGGTTATTTACACTGCGGAACCTCAAAAAGCAGAGGTGCAGTCCTTTTTCTCCCCCCGTCGATTTAAGGCTTATTCAAACAATTGTCAGACAGCACAAGGCTTTTTTTAGTGAAGCCGCACTTAACACCCAGCGCTCCTACACACAACTGCTCATTGTGCCACTTCTTAATACTTTCCATATCAGTCACTGCTGCACCCCAGGATACACAGATTGAAATTTGCCTTTCCCTTTTGATTCACTGGCAGTGTCATGGTGCCCAGCCGTGGTGTCAGCGCGGTGGCACTGACACATCCCCGTGACACAGCTTCCTGAGCGCAGCGGTAAAAGCAGGGCAGCAAGGAAATAACTCCTTCTGCCACCAGAGCAGTGGCAGGAAACAATCAGGGCGTGATAATTAAGTGGCTATTTTGTAGTGCGCTGTAGAGAGGTTATTCGACAAGGTTTGGGCGAGGAAAAGGGAAAGTGAAAGTTTAAGGCTTAGAACCAGAGGCAGATCAAAAGCACATTGCACTTGGGCAGCACTTTTAATTTCTCTGGTGTCCTTTCTGTTTTATGAGAGCTGTAAGTTATTGGAGCTGTTGTTTAAAATAAAACTAATTCGATTTTCTTTATGTATAGCATTTGTGGTTGCAAAGCGAAGGCTGAAATGTGACTTCCAGAAGCACAAAAGACTACAAGGTTAATAACTCCCACTTGCCTCCCCAAACTAAACCCCCTTTTTCTTACTGTTTAAGAGATCTTAGCTTTTAAATTTATATTGAATGTTTAGGACTAACATAAAATGGTGCAGTGCCATTGCCTTTGTCTGGAGCCCCTGTTGCTGCAGCACAGAGAATCTGCTGGAGGTGATAAGAGTCATCACTGTGGAACATTTAAAAATTACTATTTAGAGTTCCAGAGGGCCAGAGCCAGACTTCTGGCAGCATCTTCTTAAAATAGCAACAGTTTTACTTGGTTTATAAATCTAAATACCATGTATGGCCACAACCCCTCAGCCGGGGGTGGGATCCCCCTTTGATGTATGAACCTTGCGTTTCAGACTGCGAGAATCAAATGAAACTGCCAAAATACAGGCACATCATGGAAAAAGCTGCAGCCAGACACCAGTGGGGCAGTTGGAGTGCGGAGCTGAGCACAGGCAGGAATTGCCTCCAGGATGGCCAAGCAGTGATTAATTAATTAGCACAGGAACGGAACAGGCTGCCGCGTTTGTCACCTCTCCAGGGAGTGTCGCAACGCCCGTGTCCCCTCGCAGCAACACCTTGTCCTTAATTCAGTGCCATCAGGGGCCAGCGAGGAGGGCTTGGGGGGATTGTTTGGGGTTTTTTGTTGTTGTTCTTGTGGTTGTTTCTGGTTATTTGGTGGTTTCTTTGTTTTGGTTTTTTTTTTGTGTAATTCTAAATGTTTTTAGGGCCTCGAGGTTTCCAGGGTTTTTTTCAGGGTTGGTTTGTGTTTTCTGTTACCACAAGCCAGATACAGCTAGCATTCCTCCCATTTAGCAGCACATTATTCTGGCTTTCAGAGCTGGACAGAGAGGTGTTACAAATGCTGAGGCAACCCCAGGGTAAAGGCAGCCCTTTCCTACTGTCCAGCCCTCACACCTGCATCTGTGTGGATTTAGGGTCAGAGCACACAGATCTCTCTGACCTAAATATGCTGGGCCTACATCTCTTTTTGTTCGCACATCTTTCTTCCCTGTTGATGACAGGGCAATGAAAAATTTGGAGAAAGAAAAAATAAAATCCAAGCAGAACCCAGAACTCAAACATTTTACGTAAGAGCCCCCGAAACAGCACATTTTTAAACAAGTGCTGTAGTTTAACTCTAAACCTGGTTGCACTTTTGTAAATGCAAGAGGCAGACAATAAGTAAGCTTTATAAGATGTATTTATATTTTCTATCTAAACATTTCAAAAGACAGAAAAAGGATCGGTGCACAAGAAGTTAATGCACGACAACATTGTTTATAAATAAACAATGAGGAATAATCTCTGAGGAATCTCTGAGGAACGATACAAACAATTTTTCTAACACAAGGCTTAAATTCTTGTCATATTTTCCTTAAACACTTTGAGGAGTTTTGATTATTCTTTCAGAGAAACTTCCAGTGTCACATACAAATCTCTGAGACAGTTTAGCGAAGCGCTATGAGAAAGGCCTCCAGTGCCAATTTGCTCTTTGCTGCTGTGCTCCACAGAGGAGTTGCTTCATGGGTGAATTTCAGAGTGATTGAAGAGTTTGGCAGCAGCTGAAAGAGCTTGTTCCCGTGGGACATGCAGACAGCAGTGCTGCAAGCCACTGCACTGCAAGGTAAAAAGACATTTCCATCACCAGCCATCCCCTACTCAATGGAAACGCAGGTTTTGTTTTGGGTGCTCTAGATCTGACACTGCCCTGAAACCAGAGAAGGCCTCTGTCTGCGTAAAGTGAATAATTGAGTCCCTTTGATCTGTGCAAAGTTTTGCACTTTTGCCTTCAAATGTGGGGCAGAACCCTCACCTCCTGCTGGCAGCCAGCCCCGACCGCTGACAGAGGCTGTGGCTCCTTCCCTGCATCACTGGAGGTAGATTGCCTGTACATCAGAGATTACTGCAAAGTCCAGACCAGACCATTCTTGTTTGGGGAGAAAATGAGAAAGTACAAAAGGTGACTGTGGGTTATGTTTATAGACGTTCCACGCAACAGCAAAGCCGTTCAGAAACTAGAGAATGCACAAGGGCACCAAAAAATACCAGTTCCATGCGGATTTCGTATGTCACCTACCTGTGAATGATCTGCACAGGGATGGGGGAACGAGCTGGCCACAGCCCTGCCCAAACTAGGACAGCAGCACACATTTAAGAAGTGTCTCTGGAAATCAAAGCAGTACTTCAGTTCTAGAGGGAAGAGTAAGCAAAGTTTTACAAGCAACCATAACTCAAGCATTTCTTTTGCATGCCCAGTTTTACAGTCACCATTACCCTTTCCTGTCACGGATGAACCTGTGCCTTTTACGCACCGATGCAACATCTGGGTAATACACAATGCTCTGTACATTCTGAGAACTCAGAAGTTCTCACAGAGGAAATCCTGACAGCCTGGCACTGCCTTTGTGCAACCTGCCCTTCCTTCCTCTTCTGTACAGTGCAGAAAGTACAGGGGATGTCTTCTGCCATCAGCTCCACATCTAACAGCACAGACCCCTTCTTACTCACTTCCCCAGATGGTTCAGACTCATCTACACTGCTCACAAATGGATACACCGTGCTGTCAGATGCAATTTCACGGCATAAAATAAAAGTTACCTTATCTCTCTCCTGGCCCTATGCCCTTCTCTTTGTGCTTAGTACACAAATAGTAAATATGTGCATTACATGTGGTATTTTGTCTCTGGTTTGGAGAGTCTGCTTCTTCTAGATAAGTAGGTCTAAATGTTTGTACTGGATCCCTTGGAATAATTCATCTTGCAGTAGGATCAGTAGAATCTCACTATTGACTTCAAAGGAGTTTAAATATAACCAGTATAACCAATGTTTTGAATCAAATACTTCTTATTTTTCCAACAGAAACAGTAACTCTTGATACTCTTGCTAGTGCTTTATCCACCTGTCAGGACTGTTGATACAGTCTTTGACAGGGATTAAAAACGCTTGGAAAACGCAGGGGAAGGAATGGAAAAACCCTGGAGCTGCTGGCTTGGGATCTATCTGAAATGCATTGATGGCTGCTGATAGCACTTAAGAACAAAACTGCCACCAGGATGTCTATAAATAAAAGAATACTGAAATTGGCTCTTCCACATCCAGCTCATTTCAAAGGAGGCAAATTCTCACCTCATGTTGTACTGAGGTTTCTCCACTGCGTTCTCAAGTAGTTTTTAAGAAGAAAGGACAATCTTTTCTGTAGACAGAAATGCCAGCAACTCTGAAAGCAGATTTCATTATCTATCCATGTTCAGTTTTACAAGTTTTACACATTTCCACAGAGATGTTTACCCTTCCAGTGTATGCCAGCAGTGAACCATTTGTAACCAGTAACATCCAGCTCTGAGCTATAACCCATATGCCACCCAGCATCTGCTGTCTGCCCATTTCTTCCACGTTTGGAAACTCTTACTGGCCTTGCAGCTGCTCTGGGTAGCTGGAGGAGGACATCATCCACACAGACTCTGTGTAAATTTACACCTTTCTGACCTGATAACATTATTTGTGTTGGTAGGTGCTCACGTGTCAGGATTAGGGCAAGACACTGAAGAAGGAACACAGTGTTCTGCTCCTATTTATGTTTCTTGCTGTAGTTCCCTCAGAGACTAACATTATTAACTTCCCCTATCACACAAGGGACGCTCAATTTCAGGTCATTTGTACCTGTCTCTTACACTTCAGGAGTTGGTATATGAGCTTAAAGTTTGATGGGAAACTGAAGCACAAACGTGGCAAAGTGTAATACATATATTTACATTCAAGTTGATGTTTGTGGGTGGCTCCTGTCAGAATTTATGACCACAAGCCATCAGCAGAACATCAGGAAAAGCTATAGTGATTCAGTGGCATTACTGTGCTTTGCTAGCTTCCTTTCTGGAATTTTTGAGTGACACGAAGAGAAACCTGGCACTCTGGCAAAGGGACATTCACTTCACAGGGCAGGGTGGCCTCTAGGTCTGTACTGCAGAGCCCCAGCTTTCCAAAAACACCCCTAAAAGGAACCCCACCGGGACCAGTGGCCTTGCAGACACCTGCAAGGGTGAAGCAGGAAGAGATCTGCAGAGAAAAGTCTGCCAAGAGAGACTTCCACTGATGGCCAGGGCTGGGAGAGCGCTTGCTGCGTGTGCTGCTGGCTGTGGAGCAGCGAGCAGCCAAAGCCCCACCGCACCGAGCGTGGTGAGCACACACCCTGCACGCCCCACACGAACCAGGCTGCTCAGGCTGCTGCCTCACGTAGGAAACAGAGCTACTCAGTCAGAGGCTGACATTTTTACAGAGCTGCTTTCCAGAGCCCAGGCGCACTCCAAGCACGGAATAGTTTCCACTGTTTCCCTTTTCACACACGCTCAGTTTTCCAAACCATTCACCTTTGGCAAAAAGCTTCATGCCTGGCCCCTGCTAGAAGGTCAGCTTGTTTTGCAACATGAACCGAACTCCTTCGTTTGTTAAAGACCTGGAGCAGCAAATGCATCTGCTTTTACATCCCAGGGTTTTTTACTTCATCATTGTCACTAAATTTGTACACAAATTTCCTTTTAAAATGTATAATTCATTTTTAAAAAGAGACTTTGGCAGACTGATAAACAGAATTATGTCCTAATAATTCAAATATGCAACAGGGAAATTAGGTCTCTCATTGCTACATAGACTTTCTTTTTTTCTTTTTTTTTTTTTTAATTTAGCAAAACCTATTTTGGTCCTGTACTTTTTGTGCCATTGTCAGATTTTTTACGTGCGCACAGTGACATTTGCATAATTTCCATGAGGGAGACTGAAACCTTTCAGGGAAACACAATGCAAAGTCCAGGAAGAAAAAAACTTTTCATCTGGGGGGAAAGGAAACAACAGTGCCAAGGAGACAAAAGTGCCAAGGTTAACTGAGCAAGTGCTTCCCACTGTGCCCCACAGGGCCTGCTCCCAGCTCGGGCTGATTCATCCTGATGCTCTCGGAACCTGACATTTTTACCAAACTGGTGCATTTTTGACAAGCTCCTGTTAAGGAAACTTGCCTGTCTGACCATCCAGAAGCCACAGTGGCAGTCCCAGCTGCACCACCTGAGCTGGGACAGAGGTCCCTTCCCAGACACACACACATGGGTTTCCTCGCTGGCTTGGCCCCAGGCTCCCCACACCCACATCTCAGACATCCTGAGCCCTAAAGTAGCTTAATTTTGGTGCAATAACTGAGTGAGAAATCAACAGCTCAAGCTGATGTCTCTGAGCAGGCACCCCGAGAAAAGGAGGCCCTGGGCTTTTATATCCTCACAATCCACGTGAGGCTAAATCTGGGGCCACCTGCTCCTTGTGTCCCCAAGTGTCCCTCACCTGGCTGTGCCACAGGTCTCCAGGCCCCTTTTTATCCAAAGGGTCAGCAATTCAAGGCCTCCTGGGCCTCCTGCTTCCCTGAACTACCTGCACTGAAGATATTCCTCAGCACAACAAATGAGAATGGCCACGATGCCAGACGGGCTTGGCTCTCGTGACAGAACTGATGAATCCTTCTGCACAGACCATCATTTTCCAGCCCTCCCCCTCCTCACCAGCACTTGTCAGGCCCTTCTGTTTCAAGTCATTGAAAGGACAGAAAACCACCCAGGAAAAAGATTTTACTTTATTTTATAGACAGGTAAATTAAAAGGTAAATCAGCTCAGAACCTGTTCAAAGATGGGGCAGAACTGCCCTGCTGAGAGCGAGCAAAGGGCATAGGAAGGAAGAGGTAGGACAGGGATAAAGAAAAGGCAGCAAAACAAGCTGTTGCAATGGCCAGACTGTAAACAACGCTGAACACCTCAAAAATTTAATCCTGGCCATCAAGCCATGCCCTGGCAGGAGCATGAAAAATAACAAGGGAGTATAAGAAACAGTCAGACTTGGTGGAATAACAACGGTAATGTTAAAAACCTCAAGTGTGAGATCCTGCATCATAAGTTAGCACATTAGCAAACAGAAAAAGAAAATCATCTGAGAGACAGTATCAGCTTTAAACCACTCTGGAGCTATCTTCCACTTCCAGCTTTCTTCTCTTTCTGTGATTACACTTTGGTAACTCTGATAATTTATTTCACAGCCTCTACAAGCATTGCTCATGTTTGATCATTTTGTCACTCAGTTTCCATTTCCTACAGAGACCCCATTTGCTGTTCTTACCAAACCTCCTTCTCCTGAAGCCATTATTATTTAAACAATGACTGCAATGGGAATGACTTTTCAGTGAGAGACACCACCACCATTCAGTATTTCCAGATTGTTGTCCCAGTTACACACAAATGCAAAGCCAGGAGAAACAAAAATAAAGTGGCTGGACATTTCAAAAACAGCACCGACACATATGGCAACCTGTACCTCAGCTTCTACTCATCTAGAGTCAAACTCTTACATCACCAAGATACCAAATATGTGCAACAGATCAGAAATCTAAAGCTGAAGAAAGATCAGGAGCCAGAAGGATGCTAGGACAGAGGTTTAGGACAACATTTCTCTAAAATTCACCAGCAGAGTTGGTGAATTGTGGTTTGTTTTACAGTTAAAAGTCACACAGAAATGTAGAACACAACAGGAAAGTTTCATCTTGGGACGGAGAAAAGCATTCATGGAAATAAATGAAATAATTCTGACAATAAAGATGAGAAAATTATCTTCATTACACACCAGGGAAAAAGACTAAAGAAATTTACACTGATGACATGAAAAGGCAAGCTCAGAGCTCAGACCTGATTCTTTAATCTCTAGTGCTCACCTGGCTATTGCCTGCTATCCTTTCTCCACATTTCTCAGAACACCAGAATTATTCATCATTATTATTTTTACCACTCCTTCCTTACAGCTATTCACCACAACATAGGTGAGAAATGTGACCAAAGATTAAAATACTTCAATTCCAAAATAAACCTCAAGATTCTGGACTCTATTTCCATACCTTTTTGTTTCCTCATTAGTGATTTTTTTTCTCTTTTTCTTTTAGCCTCAAACGAATTTCAAATGCAGCAAAGCATTTATAAACCTGTGTTAATGTAGGAAAAAGCCCTTATGGCCTCCATGGGGACAGAGTCACTTCACATTTCTTACACCACAGTCTTCATTTACTTTTCACAGTTATTAGAGCTATGTTGCACAGCTGCAGAGTAAACCTCATTTAGTTGGTGTTTTAGAAGGAATGATGCTTTTTCCACTGTCATGTTTCAAATTAATTCCCCATATGTATCTCAATCTCTTAATCTTTGATCTTCTTGGTAATCTAGATTTATTAAAAATAAAGAGCAATGGTGAAAAAAATGACAGAGAACAAGAAAAAATACACAAACCCACAGCTGGAGTACCACTGTCACTGTCACATTCAGTCACTGGCTGAATGGCACTGGCACCACCAACTAAAATGAAAGGGAATTACACATTTCAGCCACCCAGCTCTGACAGCTGGCAAGACTTTGGAAGAAAAGTTTTACTTCTCCAGAAAATCCACACCTAAGCAAAATGCTGAAATGCCTGTCTTCTTATTTACAGCAGTATGTCTTTTTAAAAAACACCCCTTCCCCTACAAACAAGGAACTCAAGCATTCACAATAATATTACGTATGCAGAACATGAATAGTTTAAAATTGGGTTTAAAAAGTCTGGCTTACGGTGCTTAATGGAAGATGGAAAATAACACAGTCAACAGAGAAACATTATACACAAGAGAAATGTTCTAATCTATTCTTAACTCAGTTTTATCAATAATCCCCATAGCTGGCTTCTGGCCATCCCAGATGAATAATTTAGAGCCAGGAAAAAACAGGGATCTGGACAGACATTGTCCACATCTGTAATTCATCTGCCTTGCTATATTAAGTTATTCACCTGTTAAAATCCAATTTCCTACTATATAGCTAAATATGCTTAAAGGTTACACAGCCAAAAATAGCACTGCCTGCAGCATTTTCTATATTGTAGAATACATAAATTGCCCTTGTCAGTATGTTACTATAAAAAGGTATTGGCTTGTATTTCTAGAAGATTCATTTCAAAGATGTCAGGGGTTGCCTTTTGGTCAAATAGCTTTGCAGCATATATAAAAGTGTATAGGTAAAGTCTCTAAAGATACTTTACTATTGCCATTAAATTGGCAAAAAGAGTTACCAGAGCTTTCACAGGGAATGTGCTACTGCACATGCCTAAAACTAGCAATATTATGACATTTGGGTTTCACTGGTGGTTTTTTTCCCTTAAAGATTTTTTTTTTTTTTTGTTAAGTGTTGTATGGCTGAACCAACTTAAACCTGCAAATTTTCTTTCTGCAAAGCTAGTGCCCAAACAGGCTGCTTCTTCTTGGAGAATTCTCTACTCCAAGCCCCCTTGAGCAAGAAGGGGTGTGCTTTACTCCACCTTGAGCCCATGAATAAATCCATTTGCAAAGCTCTACATGTGCATCACAGCCTCTGCGCTGCTGTTGCTACAGCCCTGCTAGGGCTTTTTGGAATATTTATTGTTTGCCATTATACACAAGGTGGAAAAAAATGCTCTTTGACTCTTGGGATCCTGAGATGACTTCCACTGGCCTAAAAGTGACAAAGGTTTCCATCTGAATTATGGATCTGGACACCACTGATAGGAGGAGAGAACTCTACAGCCTCCATGTCCGGTGGCCAGGACATCAGCCTTTGGTGCCACTCAGCAAGGCTTCACCAGAAATGAATGAAGCCACATGCAGCCATTGTCTTGCAGCTTCCTCCCCCTGAAGAAAACGCAGCAGAAAAGCTCATTTGTGGCAGAACGCCAGCTCCATTAAATACAATGCATGCAGGTAGTAAATTTTTGCCCATAAACCAAGTTGTCTGAGGGTCAAAAAAACAATGGAAAATAGTAGTTTTAGTGTTAAGACTATGCCAAGTATTGTCAGAAATAGAGATTTGTGCTCCAACCAAGCAGATGGATATTATTCTTTTGTTCAGAGACATAACAGAGCTCCCAGCCAGGCCCTGACAGCACAATTACATTTCTCTGTCTGAGCCCAGCCCTTCAAACACCCCCCATGCAAAGCAGCTTTCAGGAAGAAAGTCTGATACTGCAGCTATTTTTGCTTTTGCTCCTTATTTCTCTTGCCCAAAGATGCAAATGCAAGGATGAGTGGTTCCATGAAAAACCAAGAGACTTCCTTTGATAAACAGGATGTTGGGTTTTCTATGGAGTCACCCCCCCCCACACACACACCTGTTCTCTTTATGGCTGCATAAACATCCTCAGCTCCCTGCAGATCCTTTCACACACTACACATCTTGCTCTGGCCCTGCTCCTGGCTGGGCTGCAGTCGGAGTGCCCACGTAGGCAGCAGGGTACCTTAACCACTCCTTATCTTGTTTGCAGAGCTGAGACAGACGAGCGTAAAGACCAACGCGCCAATCCATTCACAAACATTGCAAATACTCAGGTTTTCCTTTCAGCAGAGCAAATACTGGGAAGCGAGCTGACAAAACACAAGGTCAGCTGGCATCCTGGTCTATAGCATGACTTCTATTTACTTTCTCTTGCTTTATCTCCCTTGAATAACTTGCGTTCGGGATGTAAGCATACATTCGTGTTTATCTTTCCGAATATAGGATCATGAGTGGAGTAAGCCTCTGCTGGAGTGAAATTCCACTCAAGTCCGTGGTATCCAGCCATGTTCCAACACGTGAGCTGGGTTAGCTTTTGCTTTGACTCTCTAAAATGACATCCTTAAGCAGGGCTTTAGCTTAAGGTCCAGCACTGCCCACACTGCCCTTCAGACACAAGGGTGTAGGTGTGCCAGCCTCTGCCTCCAGCAGGAGAATGCCAAGCTCACAGGGAGCAGTGTCCACCTCTCTTCACTCTTGTGGTCCATGCCCTTCACCCAGTTTTCTTTTTCATAGCTCCACTTCTCTCCACATCCCCAAATTACAACGGGCCTTCGGTTGCCCACACGTTTCCCCTCCAGCATCGCCAAGGACCAGACAATGGTGCAGGACAAGCCTTGGCTGCCTTTCTCCAGGGAGGTTTAAACTGCAGCACATCAGCAGAATCAGAGAAACGTGAGACAGCCAGTTGGAGTCCAAGACAAGGTTTGTACACTGCAGGGAGGGCACTGCCCTTGAGGCAGGACGCTCCCCCAGCAGCAGAGGTGTGAGAGCTCTCACCAACTCAAAGCTGGCTCTAAGCAAGCAAAAGTGAAAATCTTTCCCTTTTAAATCAAAGCATGTGACAAGTTTACCAGCTTGAAGAAACCTAGGCTGACTTAGGGTTCTGTGTAGGAAAATAACACTGGTTTCATAAGATTTTTAAGACTTTAAACCTCATGAAGAGCTGAAGTCAACTTTTGACTTTGAATCTTTTGACTCTGAAGTTTGAATGACAAAAAAGTAGCATAGTTATGGACCTGAAACTTCGAGGCTTTGCACATATCTGATTTATTAGCTGAAGCAAATTAAAAAAGATGAATATTTCTGTTACAGCAGCTTCTTTTCAGAAGTTGTTTCTGTGACAGGCACTGAGTGGATGTTGGTTTCAGAGAGGTAAATACAAACCATCATCTCGCTGCTCCTGGAAAACAAATAGTCCTTTGTTACCAGCACCTTGGAAATGAAGTAATAAAACAAAGAACACAGAGGTTTTTCTTGAGGTGTTGATGGCTGTTCTGGAGTCATTAGGCTTGTGATTCAGCTCTTAAATTCGGTGTAGAAACTGTCGTGTAAGAGAGATACGATAAAGGTAATAAATGACAGACGATCTTAAAACATTCATCATCTTAATAATCAAAACACAGGGAGAGAGACAGGAAATCAATACATTACTTTTAGAAACAGCATCAAGAACAATGATCTGAGGGAGAATAATAAGAGGAAACTGAGAAGATAAAGCACACTAGGGTAATTTTAGACAGAAAGGCGACAATAACATTCTTCTAATGTAGCAAGGGAGCTACAGTGGCTGATACAGATCTGGGTAGCTACATGTTATAAATAGTATGGAACAATAGAGACCAAGAAATATCAGAACTTTTCAAGCTGAGGGAGAGAAAAGAAAACCGAGCAGTCCCATAAAGCATCCTGTGCAGTAACTAATCCTCATGTGAGTGGGACGCTACTATTTTTCTCATCCATGTTTCCAAGCGTCCCTCTCACTGCATGTCAGAGTTAGAAAGAGCAGAGGTGAAGCAAAGCCTTACCTAATAGCTGGGTTACTGGCACCAAGCCACAGGGAAAGATCAGAAAACTCGTCCTTGAGCATTTCTTTCCACAGCTCCTGTTGCCATGATGTCGATGGAAATGATGGATGAGCTCCATGACTGGCTCATCTTTGAGAAGAACCATTCAAGTCTAATAAGTTGTTCCTTTTTTTAGAAATAGTCATTTCGCAGGGATTGCTTTTTTCTCTTCCTGAGAATATTTTGCTAGATTATGAAAGCATTCTTCTGACTGCTCCTCTGGTATAATTTGCTTTAATCAAGCATTAAAGTACAGTAGCCGTAGACATTTCTACTACTCTGCAATGCACAAGGAGAAAGAAGAGATGCAGGAGAGGTAATGGAAACCAAAATAAGGACCACACTGTAATACTTGTTGTGATTTAAGAATTCTTAAGTATTCCTGTAGCTCAAACTCAGGCAATCCCATCTCCCAACATATTTAATGACTTGCCCAAATCAGCACCTGGACATTTCACCAAATTCCCTTATTTAGCTTGTGGAAACCTATTTATAACAGTCACTGTAACCATCCAGTTTCAGACCTTTCATGGATATTTCATTACGTTCTCTGTTTCCAAAATGAGTCATTCTTCCTTCAGAGTCATTCTTGAAGATGACAATAAAATGTGCAGAGATAATGCAATATTTTCCTCTCTCCAGACATTTTCTCATTTAATTTCTTATTCCATTTCATTTTTATAAACATGTATAATGGCATATCTGTTGTTCGTGGGTCATCAGCTTTTAATCAGCAGAGTTTCAGTTCAGTTACAGGTTCTAATGAGGTTTTTTCCACTGAAACTGATTCCACAAGAGGCTACCTAGAACAGAGGCTAGACAGAGTTAAAGGAATAAAGTGGGGATTTGTTAAAAAGCCCTTCAAAGGCTGCACCTTGGGCAGTGCAAGAGCCCAGCCATGGCTACACCCAAGATGAACAGTTTTCACACTTTGATCAGTTTTGGTCCATTTCCACATTGGGGGTTAATTGTCCCATTCCAGCTGCAGGTGATGCAGTCCCATCCTCCCAGATTGCTCTCCTCCATTCGCTGCTGGTTGTGCTTTTTGGGGCTGGAGCTGCAGCGGTGTCCTTGGTTGTGGGGCTGGAAAAGGATTGTTGTGTGTGCCTGAGCTGTGAGGAGAACTGGCTGACACTTCATATGAAGCTCAGAGTTATATACCAATGCAGTACAGCATCTGGAAAATATGAAAGCTATGAAAGCTAGAACTTAAGGCATCAAAACTAATAGAATAACTAATAGAATGATTAGTTAAGACATTTGATTAAGTTTGGCCCAATTACGCTAATTGGAATACGTAAGGAAGAAATTACTTCTTCATTTTTAAACACCTAGAGAAACAACAATTCATTTAATTACATAAAAAAATATTAAGGGGGTATAAATAGGGGGAACAATGAAACATTATCACGTATGTGAATACAGTAATCTAAAGGGGTAGGCAGAATTCTTTTGGATCAACTAGCAACTTTTAAAAATACCTTGCAAACCACTGGACAATTTTCCCCCAAAAGCAGTGGAGGATGGCACCTTCTAGACCAGCATTGTATAAATCCCAGAGTTGGGTAAGCATCAATTTGAAATGTTTTAATCAAACATGGTCAATATACTGTGGTGGTTCCCTGTATTTTAGACATGAGGGGAGACAGAAGGTGAAGGGTACGATCCAAGTTTCAGTTTTGTCACTGCCAAAACTGGCATTTATTTATGAGCCTGAAAGAACAGTGGCCTTTCTCCCATCTGCCCAGGAGGCATTCAGGGAAACTCATAAATCCGTGACCACCCAAAGACACAGACGTGCAGGATGCTCAGCACAGGTCACTGCCAGATCATAATTTGCAAGTGTTGATTAAAGAGTAATCTTGGCTATTTTTAAATCTAGAAAACAAGCCTAACAAGGACAGACAATTAAACTATTCTGTATTTGGAAATGTAGTTGCTGAAATGGGTTTGGCTTCCCTTGCCCTTGCTCTGTTCTCACCCCAGTGATTCCATATTTTCTTATCCTCATCTTGAAACTGAAAGACCAGGACAAGATGCACTTGATTTCTATGACAGCTCTTTAAATATACTGGCAAATTCTTGTCTTAATTCTCTGTTGCATCTCCTCCTCCCTCTGCTCTCCTTCAGGCAAGAAACAAAAATACCTCAACCAACTTAAAGTTCTATTCGACCTCATCACACAAATTTCAGTCAGAAACAATGTTCTGAGAAAAGATTTTGTAATACAATCCCTTCTGCTCTGCTACAGGAATATCTCTCACACTGGTTTTCGGGTAAATAATATGAAATGCAAAAACTATAGAGGTGGTTTTTTTCTTGACTTTCCTTATCATCAGCTGGTACATTTTGCAACCAAGAAAAATAAAAACCTGGATTTTGTACAAACCCATGACATTTATGTTAATTTCAGTGAAAAGCAAACAGTCTCTGTTTTGTCCCCCAGAAATAAAAACAGGTTTTAGTTATTAATCTCTAGGAGAGCCCACAGCATCCACTTCTGAAATCATAACTTCCAAAGTGCTAAAGCCCATCTAAGTCTGCGTAGCAGCCCTTAAAATAACCACTGACCAATAATCTCTAATAAATTAGTTAATTGATAAATGTCCTACAATGTAGAAGACAACTTTAGTGAAGAGATCATCACTAATCCTTCAGATTTATTTAGGAGATTATATTGACAAATTGTTGATCATTTAACATTTGCCAGATTTAAATTTGTCAATTCAAGATTCTGACATGTCCCACCACTGTATGTATATTCTATTTGAATAACACTCACAATAATCTAATAGATAAATTTAAAAAAGAAAATCCTGATTTTCATTTTATGGGTCACAGAGATCAGGTTGGTTGCTCAAGGCATGTTAATATGTGTATTTGTCTTTTACTGAGGTTAATCTGAATTTTCACAGAGATGAGTGTGTCTCTTAAAGAGGGACAGATACAGAAAAGTGACTTACTCATTGCTTCGTCTTGTCCTTAAGTAGCATTTTTATGTCTGTACTCAGCTACTCCAACTGGCCTGAATCTGAAATGTTTTGGTTTGGATGAATGCCTGTGAAAAATGGACAAAATCAACCTTTGTCTACGTCCTACCCTGCGACAGTAAAAAGCTTTAGCTGTCTTGATGGTGGAAAATCCTGATCCCTTACAAGGCAATGCTCTCAGCAGCCCACAGGAGGCTGAAGTGCCCCACAGACATGGACAGGTGTGTGTCAGGTGAGATCCCACAGAAGCAGCCACTCGCTGTTTGTAAACAAGCCCTACACTGAAGAGGTCTGTGCTAGAGTATCTTGCTCTTTCATGGACCTAACAGTGCAGTTAAACAAAAACCACCAGCCCTAAGAGCAGATATCCCATGTAATCAAATATTTCCCTATAGCTCATCTGACATTTGTCAAGTGTGTAGAGTAGAACCATACTTAGAGACAGTAAAAAGATCTCAGCAGGAGGGGTCTCCATGAAGTCCTACAAAAACTATTGCAAATTCCGCAAAAGCAGAGAGGGAAAAGGGTGCAAGAGCTGCTCCCTTTGCAGGCATGAAGCTTCTGAAATACTGCAGTTCCTTTGCAGCAATCCATTTTCACAGTGTTTGTTGTGTTTAAACAGGTCCTGAAATATTGGTAGCACAATCCCTCATCTCAGCACTCTCACCTAGAAGTCTGAAATCTTGCCTTTCCTTACTCAGCGTATCATATAGCATCACTAACTAACTTTATAGTGCTTTGACCTGTAAAAGCCTAATGAAAGACAAATTTAAAATATATTCTTCAGTAACACAGCATCATTCACTCTTACCTCCAAATTACAAGGAATGAGAGACTCCTACATTTTTGCAAAGTGGAAATTTGAGGCATAGCGGGGACAAGAAACTTCTGCTACAAAGCTGGGGATAAATCAACAAACCAAGGTTTTTCAAGGGAACCTCGTTCTCAAAAGGGTGAAAAAAAGTTAAACTTCAGAGTTTCATTTCACCTTCTAAGTTTGGGCATAGCTTTTGAGGCAATCTGAATGCAATCTCTGCAGATGCAAAGTTCACAGACGTGACTGTCTGCAGAAGTGTATTAAAAGGTCAGCTATATTTGCTTTTGCACACAAATGGAAATTATTCCCATATGTATTTACTGGACTCTTTGACAATGGTATGGAATAGATCTGGCCAGTCAGAAGATTATTCAGTGTCTTTCAGTATACCATGTGCTTCCCTCAGAGCCATTGCAAAATAGAGAAAGGTTTCTGGATGAAGTATCTGAAGACACAGGAAATTTCTTCAGAGAATCCTATTCGGTGGCTTCCTGGTGATCCCATCCTTACTGTGGCTCTGATTTCTCCTCTCTCCTATCAGATGGGTGCTGAAGATAAAGCTGTGCTCAGTCCCAGAGGCTGGCTCATTATTTCAGCTCTTGTTCAGGCAAAATGAACAATACTGACACAAACCTTCCAGCTAAGCCAGATACGGTAAAACATCGAGATGCATCCACTGAATTTCACATCTCTTGACCTTTACACAGGACAGCAAAAAACTCTGCTGCCTCAGGCCACTCAAAGGTACTTATTTGCAGAAGATGATTCTGTAGGCAAGGAACTGCACACCTCAAAATCACTGTCTTTTCAGGTTTTGGGTTTGTCATTTTACAAAAGATACAGTCCCATTGGAATTTCCACAGACAGCAATTCTCATACAAGAGAAATATCAAAATGATCAAAATGGCATTGAGGCAACTTATCTGGCAAATTGGCTCAAAGTTGTAAATGATAATAAGGAGGGTCAAATTTTTCTCTCTACTTCCATGGACTTCAACAAGACTAGAGCTGTAACAGAGCAGGATTTGTGTCACTTGCAATAAGTGATGGCCAAGTGTCACTTCCCTTAAGTAGATTTCATTGCTAGAAAATGATTAAAAACTCCCAAAACCAATCCTGGCAGTTGTGCATTGCAGCATTCAGTGAACACATTACCTCCACCTTATTGAATAATAGCACCAATCAAACCCAAGAAATTTCTGGACAAAGATTTTTCTTCACCTTACCCCTAAGGAGGAGGTTTTGCTTTCCTCCGTTTGAATCCGAGAGCAACTTAGTACCAAGGTGCTCCTTAAAGCAAGTTCAGCTACTCGTGTCCAAGGATTTTAAGGAATCTGCCTTTAATTTACTGCTGGAAGAAGCAAGACTGTTGAACCTGAAGGCTTTTGCCCACTGTGGAAGCTCATAAAGCCTTGAGAGCTTTGTCCACACACCCCACAATAAGTATGACTCATGGAGTGCTATTCTTCTCTCAGTATGCAATAAAGAGAAATATTATTTATAGCAGCATACAAACTACTAAGAAACTGTTTTTCTTTCAAGTTTAGACATAGCAAGGGAACAATAATTTGGATAAACGGCCGTATTTACAGTTTCTTTGAATTGGGGCCACACACGGTATCACGGCCAAATATGTGGTTACGATGAAGTATTCCCATTTCTCAAAATAGTTCTGACATCCACAAGTTCACTGAGGTCTAATATCTGATTGTTTTTGGCTCAGAAGTGACTTGAGCTCTAAAGTAATTTTAAGAGCACAAACAATGGAGCTGCTTCCTTGCCTTAGGGCTCTCACTTCCGTGCCTCACATTAGATCTTTACATACATCCTCAAAAAGGTCTTA